TCTGCCTTAAGTAGTGCTCATCCCTCCCCCCTAGAGTGTCCCAGTTTCCCTCCCTGACATTGACATTTATGCCCACCCCTTCGTTGCTCTGTAGTCAGATGAGTGGACATGCCCCATCGTGCTTCATATTTTGAACATTTTTTATACGAGTCTTGGAGAGGCATAAGGCCAAGTGGGTGTCCTCCATTACCCCCAGTGACACAAGCGTGGCCCTGGGGCCTGGTCCAGTATGATGGTCATAGGCTTAGTGCGAGGAGGAAGAAGCTCAGGCCCCTCACTCTCCGACCCGGTGCGGTACGAGGCAAACCCCCTAAAGGCTCAATCGTGGGTTGCCTGCCCTCATTTCCTATGTTGCTGGTCGGCATCAGATGGGTAGGCACACTTCCCCCCCTCAGCCACCCACAGTGCAAGCAAGAGGGTAAGCCCGAGGCCCCCCCTCCCAACAACCACCATCTCCCATCTCTGCCTGATTTGCTGACGGAAGGTCCCCCAGTTCCCGTTGAGATGTGTGGGGCAATAGCTGAGTCCGGGCTCTCCTCCCTCCATTTCATCTCCCACCAAAGCAGTCTTGTCACAGACCCCCCCTGTATCCCCGTCTTCCAAGCCATCACCTCGAGCCCCGGCTACTACATTACTATACCCAATCCAGTCAACAGCGTCTCCCGCCTCCAGCCTCTTGCCATTTGATCGGAAGGATCTCCAACTCCTGCAAATCTAGGCAGGCCCCGTGGGGGCACCACCCCAAGGGCACTAAAGAAGCTCTGTGGGTCCCCTCCGGGTGACAGCACGTGGACTCTGCCCTCACGGAACGCCAGTAATTTAAATAAGTATCCCCAGGCATATCGTATGTTGGACCCCCTCAAGGCCTCTGTGAAAGGCTTCCACTCCCGTCATCGCTGGAGGGTACTGGGCACCAAGTCCTGGAACAGTTGGATGTCTGATCCCATGTACTGTATTTTCTCGTCTCTGCTCCTCTGCATCAAGGCCTCTTTCGTTTGGAAGTGTAGAAATCTGATGATAACAATAGAGTTGGAGTCTGGCCGCCTGGCGCGGAGGGCCCTGTGAGCCCTTTCAATGTGCCACTGGTCTTCTGGTAGGTCTGGAATCAGTGGCTTGAATAAGGAGAGAAGAGTATCTTGCAGGGATCCCTCACCATCTTTTTCAGGGAAGCCCCTCAAGTGGAGGTTATTCCTGTTGGCCATGTCTTCCAGTGCTAGTTTAGCCTCTGCCATGAGGGCTGTGAGCCTATTGACTTGTGCGGCAGCCATGTTGTGGGCCTTGACAGTGCCCTCCATGCGGTCCTCAAGTCTGGCGGTACTCGCGCCCAGTGTGAAGATCTCGGCGTGCAGGATGAATGTAGATCTCTCTATCTCCCCCTGCCAGAAAACTCTGCACCTCCGCTAGTCTGGATTATAGCTGCGAGGTGTATCCCGCTCTGGGCACCTCAGTTGCAGCTGCGCGTGGTGAGGGCAGCTGTGAAGTGGAGCTTGGTCCGGCGCCATCTTGGCAGTCTGACAGCCCGATCTTTTGTGCGGCCAGCATGTCCAGCACCAATGTCTCGGCTTCGGGTCCCTTCCTGGGGTGCTTTTTGGGGTTCCTCTTCTCCATTAGTTGTGGAGTATTAATGTATTTATCACTGTTGTTGGCTTTTTTCGGCATGTTGGGAACAGAGCTCTACACAGACACGTCCAGCTCGTTCCTTGGTCAGGCCACGCCTGATTGGCTTTCGATGCCATCATGTTTACAATACCGTATATACTCGAGTATAAGTCGATCCGAATTTAAGCCGAGGCCCATAATTTTAGCACAAAAAACTGGGAAAACTTATTGACTCGAGTATAAGCCTAGGGTGGGAAATGCAGCAGCTACTGGTAAATTTCTAAATAAAATTAGATCCCAATAAAATTATATTAATCGAATATTTAGTTACAGTGTGTATATAATGAATGCAGTGTGTGTGTGTTTGTGTAGTGTGTGTATATAATGAATGCAGTGTGTGTGTGTGTGTTTGTTTAGTGTGTGAATATAATGAATGCAGTGTGTGTGTACATTTGTGTAGTGTGTGTATATAATGAATGCAGTGTGTGTGTGTTTGTGTAGTGTGTATAATGAATGCAGAATGTGTGTGTGTTTGTGTGTGTATATAATGAATGCAGAGTGTGTGTGTTTGTGTGAATGCAGTGTGTGTGTATATAATGAATGCAGTGTGTATATAATGAATGCTGTGTGTGTGTATATAATGCAGAGTGTGTGTGCTTGTATGAGTGTGTGTGTATATAATGCAGAGTGTGTGCATTATATATACACACACTCTGCATTATATACACACAGTCATACAAACACACACTCTGCATTATATACACACACTCATACAAACACACACTCTGCATTATATACACACACACTCTGTGTGTATATAATGCAGAGTGTGTGTGTATATAATGCAGTGTGTGTTTGTGTGAATGCAGAGTGTGTGTGTGTAGTGTGTGTGTGTAAACTGGGTGGGGGCTGGTATTTTTATTATTTTAATATTATATTAATATAATTATTATAATATTTTTTTAATATTATTTTATTTTAATATTTAACTGTTTTTTTTGTCCCCCCTCCCTGCTTGTTGCCTGGCCAGGGAGGGGGGCTGTAACATTCCCTGGTGGTCCAGTGGATGGGCTGTGCAGGGGGGGGCCGGAGCAAGCTGTTACTTACCTTTGTAGCAGCTCCGGTCAGCTCCGTGCAGCTCCCCCGTTCAGCTACCAGTGTAAGTCTCGCGGTCTGTATGCCGCGCGGAATGTTGCCACGGTAACCCGTGTCAACGCTCTGACGGCCGCAGGTGTCGCGAGACTTACACTGGAAGCTGAATTGGGGAGCTGCACGGAGCTGACAGGGAGCTGACCCGAGCTGCTACAAAGGTAAGAGTTCGCGGCCAGCCCCCAACAGGACCGCCGGGCTGGTAATGAGCCCGGCGGTCCTGGTCTGTATTATGGCAATGTAAGTTGCCATAATACAGACCTTGACTTGAGTATAAGCCGAGTGGGCCTTTTTCAGCACAAAAAATGTGCCGAAAAACTCGGCTTATACTCGAGTATATACGGTAATTGCAATTTAAAAGGCTGCATACGAATAACATGAAAAGAAAAATTTTTGCAACAATAAAAGTGGACTGTATTCTTATCTTCTATAAAATAAATAAACAGTAATGTATTTCTATAAAATGGATGAAATCTAAAAGAGGTATTTGTTATTGCACTGTGCATCCTTAACTCTATTCAGACTTATTCACTTAAGTGATATTTGACAGAATTTAAAGTAAATTCATAGTGGATTTCAAATTTAAGGCCAGATTAGCCAATTGCATTGACTTAGAGGATATTTCTAAAGCAGCTATTTGTTCTCAATTTTGAAATTCACTTTAGATTCACTTTGAATTTTCTGCAATTCTCACTTCAGTGAATAACCCTGTATTAATCTCTAAAGTTCAAGAAGACTATGTCCAACTTCAACACTTATGTCTTTAAAATAGTGTAGTATCCAACTTCGCAATTCACCTTTGTTCCTGCCCAGCTATCAACCACTCGATACATTAAAATGAGAGATATTACTTATTTTTCCAGGAAGTTGATTAAAATTCACCAACGATATGGCTTTGAATAAATGTCCCTTTTTTAAACTCACTTGTCCTTTAAAAAGAGTTACAGGTTAACAGCACTACAGTACATTAGCTTGAGCATCATAGAAGACCTTGTGCATAAAAAGTTGCACGGCAACAATAAATTTCAGTGTATCGTTGCAAGAAAGGATTTCAAGAAACCCCTGTCTTTCTTTTAAATTACTTTTTCATTACTTACTAATCCAATTTTGCTTTGCTCTTAATAGGGTTGGAATGAAATGCTCACTGCATAGATGGACATCCAAATGGAATCCTGCCAGGTTTAAAAGAGGACTTCAAGAGTTGATATATTCAGACGTATTGTATTTAATTTGCTTAGTGTAAGTTTCACCACGCATTAAGAAAATTAATGTAATACTGCCATTTGGTTTTACAGAACAACCCTGATGACTCAAGAAGTGTCTCTTTGTAAAGCTGGTAATTTCTAACCCAGTAAAGAAATTCTTAATAAATAATAATAAAAAAGTATATGACACTCCTGGGTATTATAAATATAAAAGAATTGTTGTGGATCAAATAATCTCGGAAGGTTCACTATAGATAGGGTGGATGAGCTCAGTGGATTTTATTAGCTGTCAATTTTTATGTTTTTACATGTAAGAACAAGCAAGCAACTATGAGAAGTATTATAATGAACACATTAAAGAACATCCTTCTGTATTGTACATGTGGCAGATCTCCACAGATCCGCTGTATTATTACACAAAACCCTTTCCTGCCCAATGAGCACTCTTCAAATGGATAGCGTGAATTGATTGTGTTCTGTCTAATAAGCCTGTTAGAAAAAACTGAAAAGAGTCTTGTGTATATATGGTGCAGTTAGTGTTGACATGTTTACAGTGTGAGTAATTATAAATATATAGATAGAAATTAGCGCAACCAGTGCTAACTGGATCTGCGCGCAAAATGTGGAAGGATGGTAACAATTAGCCTAATTAAGGAAATCAATGTATAAATTAGTCCAGTCAAATTATACCAAAAACACATTAGAAACACTGTGCACTCCTATATTAGCTACTAGGCTTATGAATAGATAAGCCCAACATCAACGTCACCATATTAAACCTCCGTCTGCTGCTGCAGCAATTTAAGAAATGAAAAACAATGGAAAATAACATGTCGGTGGCAAAAAAGACTGCCTGGTTACCAAAAAATGCTTTGTGGCAGCAGAAAATCCAATTAAATTTACAACCCAGGCACCATAACCACAACAGCATGCAGTGTAAATAGTCAAACCATTTAAGGATGGTTTGAGGATTTACTTGGGTAATTATTGTGATATATATATATGTGCAGCTGTGGGTCCCAGGCTACTTGTTACTGCAGAGGGGGCCCAGGACACTGCATCTGCACATTCAGCTCTTCTCTCCCATTAACTCTCGCATGACCGGTGGCCGTCAGAGCACTGCCATGGGTTAACATGGCAACGCTCCGCACGGCAAGCGAGTCACACTCGCGAGAGTTAATGGGAGAGAGGAGCTGAATGTGCAGACGCAGTGTCCTGGGCCCCCTCTGCAGTAAGAGGTAGCCAGGGGCCCCACCATGCCACAGAACCACCAGGGAATGGAATCTCCTCCCTCTCTGGATACAAGTAAACAACAGGGAGGGGGAGGGGTACAATTTATTAAAATTAATGTGAATAAAATGCTCCTTTTCCCCCTGCAGATTGCAGACCCCAGTTTGCACATTTACACAAACTGCATACACTAGTGCAACACACACACTGCATACACTACACTGACACACACTCTGCACACACTAGTACAACACACACACACTGCATACACTAATTGCTAACTACACTACTAATTACACTGACTGCACTGACACACAGTCTGCATACACTATGCTGACACACACTCTGTATACACTACACTCACACACACTCTGCATACTCTAAAACAACACACTCTGCATCCACTATTACCACACACACTGCATTCACTAGTACACCACACACACTCTGCATTCACTACACTGACACATACTGTGCAGCCACTACCCTAACACACACTCTGCACTCCCTGTACACACACAATCCACTACACACACATTCTGCATTTACTATACTCACATTACATCCACCACAAATTCAAACACTCTGCATTCATTATACACAGACACTGTATTTAATACACACACACTACATCCACTACACAAACATAGACACTGCATCCACTACACACGCTGCATCTAATACACACACACTACACAAACACACACTACATCCACTACACAAACACACAGAATGAAATTTACACCCATAATGGCATACCATTTGCCATAGAAGCCAACCCAAGGTATTGCAAATGGGGCATGTCCAGTCTTTTTTAGTAGCCATTTGGTCACAAACACTGGCGGCATTTAGAGCCACTTAGAATAGGGCGTAATAGTACGCCCTCCGGTTTTAAGGGGTTAATACTGCCCACAGCCTTTTCCCAAGCCACTGGAAACAAATGATGGTCCTTTAAATCCAGGAATGGGTAAACATAGTTGAGAATATTGGACAGATCGAGGAACTTATCCTACTAGCAGCAGGTAGGGTACAGGCATACCACGCAATCTAGTACTTTTGGATACAATAGATCTCATCTGAAGTGAACAACGGTTTTGTCATAGAGTTGAGGAGAATGCCAGAGGTGATGTGAGAGAGATGAATCTGGCCCGGAGGGAAGATGCTATGTCTGACTGACTGGAGAACCAGTTGCAACTCTGAGATACCACCTTCCCTTGTGCATGAGCTGAGCAACCAATGAGATTGCTTCCTCCTTGGGTTCTGATCTCTAAGCGACGGGCCTGAGGTGGGGAGACTCCATTTCTTTACTATTGCTTTCTGTAACAACCAATGTTATGTTGAGGAATATCTATTTGATCCTGCCAGGATCCTATCCTGACAACCAAGGATTATGTTTCTTTTATTTCTGTTTCTTTAATAACAAGTTCCTGCTCTAACTATGTTTTTCCACTAGTGGACTCCCTAGCCTCTTGGTCTGAACTTACCTTGATCATCCTCACCTGCCTTGACTAATTACAATTCCTACAAAAGGCTACACCCAACTCAACACGGCTTTTACAATGAAGTTGATGGTCAACCAGAAAGACTTCGGTTCCTGGCTCCTGTAATCTTACCTATGGACTTGCCTTCTTTGCTTCCTTCCTATTGGGGACCAACCTGATCTACATTATCAACCTTTTGTTACCAACCTGCTCCATACCAACCTGAACTACTTTACAATCCAGCTTTATTTCCAACCTGCTCCATACCAACTTGAACTACGCTTCTATCCTGCTTTATCTTGCCAACCTGTTTTATACCTACCAGATCATCACAACCGACCTGCTCTATACCAACCTGCTTAACACCAACCTGGACTCCTCTACTAATTATTGTTGCATGGTTTTATTTACCCGCTTTATCAGTGTTCCTTCCAATAAGGGGCTGATTCCCTAAACTTCTATTTTCCCTGTAATAACTGAAAACCTATTGTTCTGCTTACTTATTTTTCTATAGAACCTATATTTTCATCTATAGGTATTTGCTTCTGTCTAATTTTATCCTGTTTTTATAACCTGTCTGGGGCATATTGCCTAAACCTCTGTTTCTCTTATTTTACTTTTCCCTATAATTTCCTTTATGTTACTTTATTATGTCCAAACTCCCCAATAAATAACCTAATGTTAACTCTGGCCAAAGTCTCTTATCTGACCTGCTCAAGACCATGACAGATCATTTCAATAAACTATGAATGACAAAAAATATTAATTTATTTTGCTGTTCAAACTATAACTATATGTTGGCAACACTGTTTAATATTCTATAAACCTTTGCAGTCCAAATATCAACAAATAGACTGACAGACACATATAGGTGGCTGAAAGGTTTAAGTCTTTATTTATGCTCCTTGAATAATGTCACAGTATTCCAGAGTTGCCCTTAACATTCTAGACCTAGAAGCATTTATGTAACACTAAGAGTTTACAAGAAATGAATCTGTTTGAATTGTCTACGTTAATAATACAAAAGTTTTCTCTACACCCAAAGTCAACTTTATCATTGCTCTTTTCATCCCATAAGTAGAAGCAAAATGAACAGCCTCTTTGTCTTTTGTGTCTGATGTTAAAGTTCCATCAAATTTATGGTTTATCGAAGTTACATTAGCTCTCTCTCTCCGTCACTGTTGGCTTCAGATCCTCTCATCTGCCCTTTCCCTTTTAAATCAAACCTAAGCAACTCGGATGTACTAATTTCCTCTGTGTTAATCATATCCTCCTTAACATCCATCAGAGCCTCTCTCCTTGGATGTAATACAGAATGAATAATGTTCTACAAAGTGACTGAGCCATTTATCACCAAGACAAAACTTTAGATAAAAGAGTCATTTTGTGACAAAAATGTTAAATGGATTTTACTTGCTCTCAAGCATGGTGCAATAGAGAGGGATGTTAACAAGACACAGGGCAAGATGGGGAATGCTTTGAAATTTAAAGCTAGCTTTTATAATACATCTACCTGTAAATCCCACATTAGGACATTTATGCAATAATAGAAGAATTTTAAAGACTTTGAGATTAAAGGGGCAATTACTACTGAAATATGACAATCCTTAATCATGACTTGCCCCCTTGATTAAATCACTTATTCCAGATCAGCTATAGAAAATATCAAAAACATCAGAACATGTATATTTTACTTGATATATATATATATATCTTAATTATGCTTACCATAATGCATTTGTTGTTTCTTCTACATTACATGTGTACTCTTTTATACCGAGGAAGAAAAGATGTATATATTGTTGCCATAAATAACAACCTAATTATGTGAAATTAATTTAACATGCGGCACCACTTAATGGAAAAGCACACAAATACTTAAATGAAATAATCTTAGTCTTTCTGACTTCTTGGAATGTAAGTAGACGTAAAAATGGAAAACTACACACACAACAATGCTCTCTGTATGGGAAAACAACTATTTCTTAAATGAACAAGTCACAATAACCAGCAACACGTATGATTCAAAATAAGTGATGATAAAAAAGCTATAAGGTTCTCTGTGTTTATTTACATTAATTGTGGCCCCCTCTATACCACATGGTAAAAAAGGTATATATGTATATTTTTATTTCATGGTAAAGGAGAGTACCAGCACATTTTGTTTATCACTAAAAGAAAGTACCAGGTTTGGTTATTATTTTCCTGGTATAAACAATTTTATTTTAAGAATTCTAGAACCATAACTTTCCCAGGACAGAATCAGCAGAACCTCCCCCATTACTTAAGCCATTATGCACCAATCTGGGACCCACAGCAGTAGTGACAAGTAAAGGTTTAGCCCTTCCCTATTGAGTTTTCCAATACAGAGCTCGGACCACCAACACCACATAAACTGTAGTATCTGTCAGGGTGAATGAGATATATTATAGTTCCACTAAGCAGTTCAGTGAGATGTGCATTTAGTAACCATCCATCTTAGAATGAACTAGTCCTCTCCTCCCTCCCCTTTCATTTTATCCTGCTCAAAAAGTCTGTACCAGTCATATGACCGAAGTATCTAAAATGGCTTCAGGGTGAAAGACACTCCAGAGTTCTTAAGAATTAAAATTTTTTGCTCCTGGAAAAAGACAGAGATATATCTACCCTAGTTGCGTCCATCTATTTTCTCTCTACGTGTTATCTCACTCTATATATTTACCATCTGAAAAAATCTCTCAAATACGTAGACTGCTTTGTTCCACTAAGACTCCTTAGTATCAGTGTTTATACATCTACCAAACTGTAGTGTTGAGATCAGATACTACTGTGATCCAAACCTTGATGTAAATTGATCAAAGTAGCAATATAGAAAATGGTAGCATTATCTTTTGTTTAACCCCTTAGTGACCGAACCATTTTTCAATTTTTTTACCGTTAAGGACCAGGGCTGTTTTTAAATTCTACCGTGTTTGTTTTTTGCTGTAAACTTCCTCTTACGCATTTACTGTACCCACACATATTATATACTGTCTTTCTTGCCATTAAATGTTCTTTCTAAAGATACCATTATTTGCATCATATCATATAATTTACTATAATTTTTTTTTTATAAAATATGATGAAATTTATTTTTAAAACACACTTTTAGTAATTTTGACCCCCAAAATATTTTACGCATTTACAACCACCCATGCTAAATAGTTTCAAATTTTTGCCCTGAGTTTAGAAATACCCAATGTTAACATATTCTTTGCTTTTTTTTTGTAAAGTTGTAGGGCAATAAGTACAAGTAGGACATTGCTGTTTCAAAATATATATTTCTAAAAAGTATCAATAGTGATATTGTAACACTTTTATCTGTCATAAATCTCTGAATCACACCTCACATGTACATTTTTTTTAAGTAGACAACCCAGGGTATTCAATATGGGGTAAGCCCAGTAATTTTTTAGTAGCCATTTAGTCACAAACATTGGCCAAAGTTAGCATTTATATTTATTTGTGTGTTAAAAATGCAAAACAAATTAT